GGAAGAGAAATAAGATTGCTCCCCAGAGACAGGCTGCAGCCAGCCTCACCATGTATCTTCCACTCGGCTTTACTATCAGTACAACAGAGGAAAGATGAGCAGTGGCCTCTTCATCCTCCCTGGCCTCCCTTCTATATCTGACACACCTGTCACAGCTGCTTTGGTTCCTTGTTATCCATCATTATTAAAGTTAGACAAGGAGTCTACCATTCAAATGAACTTGGTGAGTAATGAGTTACAAAGATAACATGTCACATAGCTTGTATAGTCAGTTTACTAAAAACAAAGTTTATTAACATGTATACCTCATGTATGTATTAATGATACATGAAGAAATGAATAAACCTCTAGAGTAGATTGCAAAGAAAGAGTCTCAGCGTCAAGCGTAAATCCTATCATTATCAAAACGAGGCTGGTGTGTTAAAAGGTTCTGTCTAAAAAAAATGGCTAGTATGTGGCCAGGAAGGCACCTTGAAGAAAGACCCAGATTGCTCTGTATTTGAGACAATGTTTTCTTCCTGTTTGGAGTCTGAGGAGATGTAGCTAACATTTCATTCCTGGTATCAGAAAGGACATTTCCTTACAAATGGATACACCCTTTACGGATAAACATGTTTTCTACAAGGAACAATTTTTCAAAGGAACAGTTTATCTGAGGTATAGACTGTTTAGGAACAGCTCATATGAATAGCTCAAAGTGAATAGTATATCTCAGACATGTCCTGTCAGGAGCAAACAGAAAACTATGGGGGGTTTTTTTGTTTTGTTTTGTTTTTTGTTTTTTTTTATTTGTTTGTTTGTTTGTTTTGGTATATAGTATCTGCGTAGTCCCAACTCTCCTGTATATCACTGTGTAGACCAGGGTGGTCTCAAAGGTCAGAGATCTCCTTGCTTCTGCCTCCAAATTGCTAGGGTTAAAGGTATATGCCACTACTGTCTGGCTCTTTCTTTTTTATTTCAAACCCTGTTATTTACAATATTGCAATTAAAAAATGACATGTCAAAAGTAGCTCGAAACTGTGTAACTCATGAACTTCTGCACAGTTAGGACAGACATTCAAAACTAAAGCTGAGGAGTTTACCTTGGTATCTATGTGTCCCGCCTGCGGAACTAGTTATTGGGTGGGACTCGAAAGGGACCCTTACCTGAAAGGCAAAACGGGCGAGAAAGAAGAATGGGACCAAGCTAAATCTTGTCAAGGTCCGTTTACTGAAAGCCAAGGTACAGAATATAAACGAGGGAAAAGGGGGGAAGGGGGAGGGGGAAGGTGAGCTGGAATTTGCATTGACTCCAGCTCAAAGGGGGGCTGTTAGTGGAGCTGTCTGAGGGCTACTATCTTGCAAACTCCCTCAGTAAGCCTTTTCTGAGCTAATCTATTCCTGTCGTCTTGAGTCAATGTTTTTCTAAGGGAGGAATCCTTTGACTCCCAGCCCAGGGTCGGTCAGAGGGACTCTCTGTCTCTGACTCAGGGTCAGTCTAAGAGATTTCTCTGGCTCATGGCTCAGGGTAGGTCTGAGAGATTTCTCTGGCTCATGGCTCAAGGTCAGTCTGAGATATTTCTCTGGCTCATAGCTCAGGGTCAGTCTTTGGCATCTATGCTCTTTTGGATATATCTTTATTCATTCACACACACCAAAACCCAAAATCCATGACTGAGTTAGAAACAAAAACAATCATGTAGTGTCCTGTTTCACTCCCATGTTCATTACCTGCTTTCAATCATTCCTCACCTCCTAATACTTAGCCTTTTTCTCTTTTCTACACAGCTTACAGGCCCTGGACACACATGTAAATTTGTTCACATGTGTCCATTTATTTTTGTCTAGGTTACACATATGAAGGAGAACATAGAGGTTTCTCTTTCTGATACTGTGTGCCCTCAATACACAATCTAAGTGCGTCAATATTCCTGCAAAATTTGTGATTACAATTCTCTTTAGCACTAATGAGTATTCATATTGTATTCGTCAGGGTTCTGTAGAGTCACAGAATATGTGGAATTACTCTCTCTATATAAAGGAAGGTATTGGAATAACTTACAGTCTGTAGTCCAACTAATCCAACAGTGGCTAGCTGTGAATGGAAAGTCCAAGAATCTAGTGTTGCTCAGTCTCTCAAGGATGGGTATCTCAGGGGGTGTTCTCTATAAGCTGGAATCCAAGGAATGGCTGTGCTGGCAAAGTGAGGGCCAACAGGCCAAAAGTGGACAGAGGCTTTCTTCCATTGTCCTTATATAGGCTTCCAGAGGAAGGTAAGGCCCAGGTTAAGGTGCGCCTCAAGATCTGGGTTAAAGGAATGTGTGCATCCAGATAAAAAGCATGTGAATCCACCTCAAGATTCATTTCAAAAGCCTGTGTCTACCAGCCAGGGGATCTGGGTCAGGTGTGCCCTCCACCTCTGGATTGTACTTTATTCTATCTATAGACAAGTTGACAGCCTAGAATTGCCATAACACACCCACGATATGTATGCATGGGTGTGTGTATGTGCAGACATAAACATACATGATCTTGTAAATAATAAATATTTATCTATTCATCTGATCATGGGCACCTGTGTGGAATGAGGTCCTTTACTGTTGTGAATAAAGCAGAAATAAACATGGGCGGGGGAATATCTCTACAATAAGTTATGAGGGTCTCTGCACTAAGCCCAGGATTGAGTTAGTAGGGATAGCATAGAGACTCATACTCTGGTTCCAGTGGTATGAGGTCATTATGAGTGTGAGGTACTGATTTCTGATGGTCCAGTGGTCACTGTGGCATGGATAGCCTGCTGTCTTCATAAAGGCTACTTTGTGTCTGTGGCTCTAAGCACAGCCTGGACATAGTAGACTCCACAGCATCTGACATTGAGTACCAGCCTCCACTAGGTTCACAGGATCCTAGGGGTGAGCAAGTATTTGTGGTCACCAGCTGCTTCATGATCAGCCCCACCTGTACTGACATCAGAGGCCAATGAATCAGTTCCCGGATGCAGGATGCTCTCCTATGGATGTGTGGATGGGACATCCTTCCTAATGTTTGGACCCTGTTCACCCGTGCTTCCACACTAAACACTTGAGGCTTCATGCAGTTAGCTCTGAACTGCAAATTCAGAGCTGGAGGAGGGGATGGATACAGTGGTGCTCATCCAATGACTGTGTCCATCTTTACTGATGGCATATTAGCATCAAGCAAGCTCTGCTGCAAACATCTGGGTGCACACAGCTGGAGTTGGAAGAGGGCAGTTGTTTTGCTCTGAAGATAGTAAAACCATTATGTTAAAAGACTGTTGAATCTAAATTGCACATGGAGGGCGATGTAACAAGTTAGCACACTTGCGTATGTACTGGTAACCATTTAACCTCCTAGCCTCCTGGCAATTATATAAAAACTAAATACTGTGTGATTTACGCTGCAGGTAGAGTCATTTGTCATAAATTTATTTTAATAACATCTAACAATTTTGCTGAGGGAGCCCTGACAACCTGCGATGCTGTGATTATTGTTTTATAGACATAGGGTCTTCCTTATCCTAACCTGCTTTTATTACAAACACCTTTATTTCAGGAGGTAAAAAGAAACAGTAGAATACTACACAGATCAGCTCATCTCCTTCACATAGTGGTTTGTTTGTTTTCTTAATTGTTGGTTGATTATTTTTCCTGTCTCAGAGTCAGGGGCACTGTCTTCGGAAACAGGTGAGCTACAGGAACCTTAGACATACAGGCTTGGGTGTGGCATGGAGGACATCAAATCCAACCATAGGAGACAGCCTTCTCAGGTTGCTTAATCAGCAAGTGTTCATAGATGTATAATATTGCCCACAAGTGTCGTGTTCTATAATGGAAATATTGAACTAAACAACAGTTTACAGGCTTAGTGGAGCAGAAATAAGGCTGATCATATAAGGCAAAAAAAATCTCAGGGACAGAGAGGATGTCCTATCACACAGGAAACAGGCCTAGAGACCCAGCAGAGAGAGCAGGCACTAGGACCCAGTAAAGCTTCTCTAACTTGACAGCCACACTGGTAAGGGCCTCTAAGGAGGAAAATGTGGACCCACACCCTCTGGCCACAGTGAGGCTGGGCCCTGGCCTCCATGGCTGGTTAGGTTTCCTGGTGCCTGAGGTCTCAGAAAGGCAAACAAGTATAGGCTGGAAGCTCTGCTCTTGCCAACCCTGAGGGTCTTGCTCAGGAGGCTCCTGCAGCCACCACAGGACATGGACACATGTCCTGCCTCCCTTACCTCAGGATGTGAGCCCAAGAAAGCAGCACACTTCCAGTGTGCTCACCTTGCACTGGGTTCTTTAAGGTAATTGGACACTTAGGAAACACCCAGCAAATCCTTGTGACCTCCTCAGTACAAGTGAGAGAAACCAGAACATACTGGGTGTTTTTCCGCAATCGGAACTGTTGTTGGGATGACAGATGGACAATGATTTCAAAACGTTGTCAAGTGTGCTAAAGTTGAAAGGCTGCTAGCTATGGTGCTGGGCAAATATTATGTGAGTGTGTCAGGGTTTTGGTGCCACCTCAAGAAGGACATTCTGAGTGAGCACGAGGAGCAAGGAGGCATCAAGAGACACTGGGACATGGAAGACATTAATGAATCTTAAGATAGTTTTCATTCCCACATCAGTGGATTACTTCCTTAAAGGACAAGTGAGTCAGTGTCCTTTTTCGGGCTGAAGTAAGATAACATCACAACATAGGGACCAGAAATTACTCGTAAGCCTAATATTTCTGTCAGGGTGTCGACTCACACTGCTTCATCTGCTGTGTGGATGTGGAGGTAAAAAGCAGTCTGACTCCCCATGGCGATTCCTGCAGCCCAGACTTTCTCCTGCCAGCATCTACAGCCTGTTGCCAGGGTCCAATCCGGGAACAGTAGAACTGGCCCCACCTGGGTTAGGAGAATTTCTTCGCACTGACTTCTGGGAAATGTAGTTTGGCTGCTGTGACATCACAGTCGTCCAGGAAATCCCTATCCGGCTTTTGGTTTACACACTTGCCTCTTCCTGAAAGTTGGACAAGAGTCCTGTAGTCTGTGCTGCTGTACTTTCCCGTCGCGTCTCTGACATGGAGGTCGGTCCAGGGAGCCGCGTAGCCTGAGGCACTGTGCGGGGTGCGGGGTGCGGGGTCGGTCTTGGAGGGACCTGGGCTGGGTGGGCGGGCGGAAGAAGCTGCTGGGGTGCTGGGCTGAACTGAGAGACACCTGACATGGCAGGTCAGGGCTGGGAACAGGACGGTTGGGATTGTTCCCTGAGTGACCGTTTCCTCATCCACCGCGTGCAGCTGGAGCCCGCCTTGGGCTTCTGGGACAGCAAAGCTGCCTGGTAGTACAGGAGTAGATAACAGTGCCAGGTCCGAGATTACCAGCTAATGACGGTCACATGACTGCCTGCTCCTGAGGAGGGGCTGGGAGCTCACTGAACTGCTGTTAGGGGAGAACTTGCTTGGAGCCCATACACACCGAGGCCCAATGCTGGGGAATGTGAACCCAGCTTCACCTTAGAAAAGGCCTCTCTCCTTTTAGAGTTGAGTAATTGTAAAGAAGAATGTCTGGTTGGTGCACATTAGGTGTGTCAGCATGTATTTTTCTTGTTCTTTTTAGTGTTTTGTTTTTTGGGGTTTTTTTTTTTTTTTTTGGACACAGGATTTCTCTTTGCTATCCTGGAACTTGCTTGGTAGACAGGGCTGGCCTGGAACTCACAGAGAAGCTCCTGCCTCTGCCTCCCCAGTGCAGGAATTGGGGCACGAACCACCCAAGGAGTGTCATTTGGTCTTGATCTGGCTTTGAAATTGTTGAGCTGGTCCATGAGCAGGGCCCTAGGAGCAGGTGAATTGTTCACATGGCATTTTTGAGGGTGTGGGGCTTTTGTGTCAAGTCAGCAGGGTGAGGAAAAGCTCACAGGCCTGTGTGTGGTCACGTGATTTAATGTAACCTGACCTGTGATAAAAAACAAACTGCAGCCTACTCTGAGGAGTAGCTCTCTTATGTCTGCATTTGTGAGGGGGAGACAGGACCACCTGCTCCTTCCCTGCCTCATAGCAATTGAAGGGCATCCAAGGCTACCAGAGTCTGTGTCAGAAAACACTTGAACATACTTGATGGACATGAGAAATACTTTCTGTGGGTCATTTCATGTCTTACAGTTAGCTTCGTGACAAATCCATGTAATCAACACTTGGCTGACTTTTCAACTATTTGTACTTAACTTATTGGCTCATTCCACTTGAAATTTAAACTTTTTTCACTAACTTGCTCTGATGCTTGTATTTACTATTTGAGGAAGAATTCTTCCCCCCCCCTGCTTCTATATTCCTTCTTTTGCAATGAATATTCATTCTTTATGAAAAATAATTTGTGTTAGATTCTATCATGGCCTGATGATGCTTCCTTCTACTGTTGATTGAATTATTTCAGTTTGCTTCTTTTATATCTAAGCTGAGACTGCATTATTTCTTCATTCCCTTTCTACAGTTTTTGCCTGATGCAGGCCACTGTGGTTCACTCTCCTGTGTCCTTTCCGCAGTTACAGGTGGGATGCCTTCCCTGTCCCCTGCACCAGAGGTTCAACTGTGAGCAGATGCTTTTATACGTAGCCAGGACAAAAACACTTCCCCCACTGTCCCTCACATGGTACCTCCATCTCCACCCAGTAAAGCAAACTGCTAGTGTGGGATTCCTTCCTCTTGCACACGTGTGTGTACTCTTCTCCTTCATGTGTGGTTCTCTTTGCTCCCAGATTCTTCATTGTATTGCAGTGTTAGCATCAGGGAAGCAGTTACTTGTCTTTACATCGCCTTCGTTAGCCATGTCCAATCTGGAGAACTCTTGAGAGGGGATGTGCTGGGTGAAGACACTCAGATCTTCCTGATGTATGTGATTATGTCAGAGGCCATGGAGAGAATTACAAACGATTTTAAAAGGATTCAAACATATATGCAAGGAGTCAACCTGAGCAGCACAGGTTCTCATTACATTCTCATTTTCTATTGTAAACTTATCTGTCCTTGTGTCCTCCATAGTCATCAGATGCAGCAACATATCAGTGATGTATTTTGAGTGGCACGGAGTCAGGTGCCCTCAGAGTTCTGTTAAGTCTGCATTCCACTACTCTCTTCCTTCCAGGATCTATGCACAAGTAAGTCATTTGTATCAGAGTGCAGGTCCCCACTCTATCGATACACTCCCCTTACTGGTGCTTTAAGACTCAGGAAAATATATGCACCCTTTAAATTCCACAAATTCATGGAGACATCTAATGTACAGAGCAAAGCATGAAATATTTATTTTGAAACTAAGATTAAAATTACAGAATTATTCTTTCCAAAGCAGATTCTTTATTTGGTCCCCGGTTTTTTGTTTTGTTTTGTTTTTCATGCTTTATTCCACTTTCTCAGTCATAAAGTTGCAAAACACAGTGGCTTGAAGGGAAAATTAATCATTGTTTCATGCCGCTGTTGTGTGAGTAAAGCCCTGGGACAAAGATCTTATACTTGCTGCTTCGTGATGTGTGTTGTGTGTGTTTCAAGCACTGTGTTGTGTGGTGTCTAGATAGGCTGGTTTTGAATGGAGGGTCAGTGTTGCTGATCCTGATTAGGAATCCCCTTCTCTCATTGCGTCTTCTTTTACTTTTCTCTGATGTCCTGTTAGTCTTGACTTTTGTATCATCTCTCTGAAAAGGTATCTCTGAGGGACACTGACAGGAGCTGCAAGAGTTCTTAATACATCTCCTCTGTCTGTTCTGTTATTCTAGGCTTGCCTCTGGGATCAGCCTCCATTTGTGTGGAGTCCAGATATCCATGTCCCAGTTAAAGTAAGACTGCGTAGTAGTTTTTAATGAATGACAGTTTCTGGCCTCATAACAGACCTTATTTGTATTTCTTCTCCATAGAAATTAAATGTTGTTACTGCCAAGTTCCCTAAAATGTTTCTCTATTCTTGTATTGGCTAAAATCCTTTCAAAATGATGTCTCATTTACAGGTCCACTGCCCCTCAATCACAGCATCTTCTGAGAGAGGGTGAAGAGTCTTCCCCAGGGATGTACTCACTCATTATTCTTCTAGTAACAGGGGGCTCAGTCCACCAAACATACATACAGGCAACACTGAAGAGAGTCAGCCTTTCATATGTATATTGTTATGTATATGTGTATATATACATATCAATAATAACTAAGAAATACAATGCTATGCATTTTAGATGTAGTCATCCAGGACAGGAGAGGACTTAAAATGAGAAAAGAGGGAGAAAGGATGTAGTTTAAATTTACAAATTTCTCAGAAAAAAAAATGCATTCTTCAGAGTCGTGAGAATATGGGTAAAACTGGAAATTGGAAACTATTTCAGACTAAGTAACACATGGTTACACTGATATGTTAAAGGTACAGAATTGTAACTTGTAGAAAAAGGAAGTATAATAGTTTTTCCCATCACCCAGTGACATCAGGAAGCCAAAGCTTGGGGACTTCCTGAGCAGTGAGTGCTCTGGAACAGTGGGATAGAAGGATGACACTCGCAGTACTGTTGTCCTGAATGTCTGTAAGGATTATGTGGAGTACATTTTAGAAGCCCGGACAATAGTGTTTGAGGAGATGAGCATAGGAAAACTGAGAAAGATGATCCAAAGCTTACCCATGCAATTATTGCAAGTCCCCTACTGATACCTAAATCGCTAATATTTTCATGAATTAGTAAAAAGGAAAAATAATGTATGACTATTCTCATAGTCATTCTGGGACTTTACTGAATAAGTTATGAAAAGCAGAAATTCTGAAATTAGAAAAATTTGAAATTATAAAAAATCATCAGCAAATGTAATTCTCAGCCACATGACACTGATACACAGGTTTCTTATGTGCAGACCAGGCTTTAGGAATGTCACAAACTCATCAATCACTGCTTGTCAGAGATAAGGTGGAAAGGGGTAACACTGGAGATGAGAGTGATATCTGTTCAATTTTGAATTCTCAAACAGTGTGTTCGTCCTAAAGTTGCCGATTTTCTCATTTGTTCACATAGTTAACTGATAGTCTGTGAGTTCTACCGCTTGCCTGTTTCATCTCCTGTCCCTTGTCACTGTCCTTTGTGTCACTACCTAACTGTGTACAAATCTAGAAACCCAGATGACAGCCAGAGCCACTGCATCAGAATCTGTATTTCAATTCACTTCTCAATTATGATTAGGCACATTAGTGTGGACAGGTACCTTGTCCCTCATGATGACTTTGTCCTGTGAGAAATATGCATATGCTTGGTGTGTAATACAAGCATATAGCATTAAATGTGTATTCCTCTGTGGATGTGTTCATTTTACATTTCATCTGTCTCAATGTATAGTGGTGTACATGGTGGTATAGGAACTTTTTCCTTGTCTTCCTTGAAGATGGGTCCAGTGTGAGATTGTGTGAGCTCCTATGATGTGTCTGAGGAATATTACTCACTGATGTCAGAAAGACTTCTAGCTCTCTTTCATGCTGGCAAATCTAGATTTGTATCCACAACCAAATGTTGCCTGTGTTAGGGTTCCTTCTGCTGCGATACAGACCATGAGGAAAGGCAACTTGGAGGAGAAAGGGTTCATTTCAGCTGACAACTTGAGGTAACAGTTCATCTCTGAGGGAGTCAAGGCAGGAACATGGAGGCAGGAACAGGGCAGGGGTCACAGAGGAACACTCCGTACTGGCTTGCTTTCCATGGCTTGCTCAGCCTTCTATCCTATACCACATAGAACCACCTGTCTAGGGCTGGCACCACCCATAATATACTGTAATATCTTATATCAGTCACTAATTTAGAAAATGCGCCGCAGGCTTGGCTACAGGACAGTCTCCTGGAGACATTTTCTCAATTTGCTTCTCTCTTCTCAAATGACCCTAGCTAGTGTCAAATTGACAAGAGAAATATAAAGCCCAGTGCTTCTTGGTATTTCTATGATTATTAGTCGTTAAATTAACTAAAAGTGTGATTTCATTCACTAGTGTTTATTTCAGGAAGTGCTGTCCTTCTGGGATGTGGCCATTGATTTCTCTCCAGAAGAGAAGGAATGCCTGGAGCCTGCTCAGTGGAATTTGTACAGGGACGTGATGTTGGAGAACTACAGCAACCTTGTATTCCTGGGTGAGGACTGATTCTATAGTGAAGTTTTATTTCACCCTAAACATGTAGCTTCCCCACATTCTACAATATCTCATCAGAGATTGTGCTTTCAACAACGAGCTTCGTATTCTTCATTTTAAGAAAAATGAGGCAAGTTGCTGTATAGCTAATAAGCATTTCATTGTTCCTTAGTTTGTGAGTTTACCCTGTCTGTTGGGAGCATGAATCTTTCACTCTTGTGGGATTGTTAGCAATTTAATGACATGAGGCATGGAGCTCGCATGTTAATGAAAATTTTTCACAATTCTGTTTAAATGTTTTTGTCCCTGTAATTGAAACTCAGAATCTGGACCATATAAATTTCTTCACATGTTGTAATAATCTGGTCAGAAAACATGTCAGGAACTAATTGTCTGCAATCATTTATTGCGTTATCTTTTTCCATATACATATTGTACTGGAAGGGTCATGTCAATTCCCAGGAGGAGAACCCGTAAACAATCTTGTTCTCTTTTCCTACAAACAGGTCTTGCTGCCTCTAAGCCACACCTCGTGACATTTCTGGAGCAAAGACAAGGGCCTTTGGATGTGAAGAGACAAGCAGCAGCTACCGTGCATCCGGGTGGGTAGGAAAGAGAAGGTCAGAGGACAGAGTTGAAGTCCAAACAGAAAAGCAGGCTTTCCCACATGCATTGAAACATGATGTTGTCATTCTTCAGGTCTCTGCATCTTGTCGGTATTGTCAAAGAAGCAAAAAAGTCTCTCAGACTTTTATGATCATTTAAGTCTCTTAGGCTTCGTATTTTCTAAGTGGTAAACTGTAGTTATATTCAGTGACTTCCAAGGTTTTATGGTTTTGTTTTTCTTTTTATTGGGTCTCCATTGTAAAGGAAGACTCAAGGAAATGCAACTCAGTGCTGGTCAGACTTGAGAGTCATTTATTTGTTGGAGTTGAGAGCAGGTTCAGCTCATGCCAGAAAGATCTGTACAGCGAGGTGCACATGACTGGGTTTATAAAGCCAAACCCACAATTCCATCACACAGAGGCAGGCAGGAGCAGAAGGCTCAACAGTTTCTGTTCTGTTGATTAGAAGATTAGCGGTGGGGAGCAGTTGGATAAAAGTGAGACAAACGAGAGTCAATTTGGGAAGTTGATTTCTTATTGGTTTTAACAAGGAATCAAAACATTCACTTATGTTATAAAGGTATGTATTGGGCCATTAAGTAGACGAATTTCACAAAGACTCTTCATCTTTCTTAAGGAAATCTAGTCATGGGTAGCCAGTTCAGCAAGCCCCATAGGAAACATTCAGGCTATATTACATGAGTCCAATGGGAGGAAGAGATCTCATGGTCCCTTCTTCTCAAGGTCTCCTGTTGAATTCTGCAAACTTCCTCCATGTGTGTCAAGGTTCATTGGCTTCCTGTTGAAATGGGAACCAGGTTGAAGAACATCCCTGTTGTCCTTGGAAGTAGACTCAGAGAGACTGCGCTCAGTGACCTTTCACAGTCCACATCTCCTCCCCAGGCTTTATTGCTTTCTGTTCCTGACTGTGGTGGGTCCACAGGTGGCACGTGCAGCTTAGCTGAAATGAGTGCCCATAGTTCAGCCTGCTGTGCTGACTGGTCCTGTGACAGGGTCTCACACTTTGCTGAGGACTGCTTACAGAATCAGGCTTTGACCTCTCAGCTCAGGGATTAGCGTTGTTAAGAGGAGGAAAAGTCAAAGCCAGTGGACAGGCATGGCCATTCGAACTAGCATGTAGTTCCTGTACCATTTGGGTGGCAGGCTCAGGCACAAGGTTCCCCTGTTTGCATCATCCACAGCTGTAAGTTCAGGGGTCGTGGAATATAGAGTGACTGCAATTGCTTGAGACATTTAGGCTGTGTGTGCAGAGTCTAAGATCCTCCTCAGCAGAGAGAATCCACCCCTCTGCCTTGAGAGACATGAGGAGTAATTCGTTTTTTCCTAAAGTTAAGGACTAGGAGTTCCTAGTTTGTCTTATAAGCTAGAAAGACAGAAGCAGTAGATGCTAGCAAGTCCTGTTCCCCTGCTTCCTTATCCTATGATGAGCTAGCATGGCAGTTACCCTGATAGGTCTGTGTCCCACTGGGGCTACCCTCCAATGTGTGCTGTTTGATCCTAGGTGTGTCCTGCCATGAAACTGTAGTGTAGCTTTTAATCCTTTTTACTCAAGCTTTCTTTTTCAGTAACCAGTTTTTTAAGTTCACATGAGTTTTAATATTTCAGATTAAGGAACGTTTCCATATTAAGGAAACTTTAAGTTGTCCTAAAATTTGAGTTTTCTGCTTTATGGTTAAGGATAATAAGATGCACAGAAGACTGTATAATGGATAATATAGTCTTTCCCTCTAACATTGTCTCTGTAAGTGAATTACATTTGTATTTAGCATGATTACAAATACAATATTTGGCACAGTAGGTATATTTAGTCATTAATATTGTGACTCATCATTAACTATTATGTCTTAATTACTTTTGTTGTCACAAATACAATAAATTAGTCATAAGTTTGTATTGCTGGAAATAAAAATGGTATTGAGCTCAGGAATGTTTATTATTAGCCCTAAAATTGTTACAGCAGTATTATTGAACCTGCTGTCTCATTAAGACACAGACACCGGTTAGACTTTATTTTTCTTGTGAGCCTAGCCTTTCATGGCTGAGCCATCTCTCCAGCCCCTGGTTAGATTTTATAATTGTCCTATTTCCCTTGGGCTGGGCAGATATTTACACCTATGCTATCTCAATAACCTTATCATCCAGCTCCAAGCCCCCACCTAATGCCATCCAGCTTAACCATTCTTACCTGGGCTACCTTTCATCCATAGTCCTGTAAATACTTATATTTTCCATCTTGGTATTTTGTCCATCCACACCATCCTTGGAGTCCTTTCTCCTGGCCCATGTGGTTCCTTCTCCACTGCAACTCCACCCTAACTCTTTATGCTCTCCTTCTTCCTTCTCTCTTCCCACCTGTCTCCTCTGTTTTTCCCATGATCCTCCTGTCCCCAAAGCCTGGGAACCCTACCCTGGCCTACTCCATTCTGCCCTGCCCAGGTTTTAGGCCTTTTAATCAACCAATGAGAAATAATGTCTTAGGTAGCTTTACACAAGGATAGGTGTATCCAAGCAGTAACCAGATCTTGAGGGCCAGTAATTAGCATCAAAATACAAGCATCAGAACAACCCCCAATAAGTTTGTGACTTAATAAATGAAAATGATTTATGCTTCTTTCATCTCAAAATAATCATTAAATGTAAATACAGTCCGTGCAAGAACTGGGAACATCACTCGTCTCATCTCCTTAGTGCATTTTTATAAAATCTAAATCAGTCCTACAGATCTTCTACACTAAGTAGCTTGTTTCATCAGAAAGGATACAGAGGAGAGACTAGTGAGGTTAAAGAGACACCTAGAAGAATGAAAAGGTGTACAATTAATTATCATCATAGTTCTTGTCATGACTCAGTTTCTCCAAATAGCTAAAGTTTCACAAAGTTAGCAAAGACATCAGTGACTAAATAGATGTATTTAGGGCAGTTTTTTTTAAATTTTTTATATTGATTACAGTTTATTTACTTTGTATCCCAGCTGTAGCCCCCTCCCTCATTCCCTTCCAATCCCACCTTCCCTTCCTCCTTTCCTCTCTGCCCCTTTCTAAGTCCATTGATAGGGGAGGTCCTCCTCCCCTTCCATCTGACCCTAACTTAATCAGGTTTCATCAGGACTGGCTGCAATGTCCTCCTCTGTGGCCTAGCAAGGCTGCTCCCACCCCCCCGGGGGGGGGGTCAAGGAGCCAGCCACTGAGTTCATGTCAGAGACAGTCTCCACTCCCCTTACTATGGAATCCACTTGGATACTGAGCTGCCATGGGCTACGTCTGAGCAGAGGTTCTAGGTTATAACTAAACATGGCCCTTGGTTGGAAAATCAGTCTCAAAAATGACCCCTGTGCCCAGATATATTTGTGGTCTTTGTGGAGCTACTGTCCTCTCCAGGACTAACTCCCCCTTCTTTTATATGGTGCAAGGAAATCATGAAATTTGCGGGCAAATGGTGGAATCTAGAAAAGATCCCAGAAGCAGAAAGACACACACGGTATATACTCACTTATAAGTGGATACTAGACCTAAAAGATAGGATAAACATACTAAAATCTGTACACCTAAAGAAGCTAAACAAGAAAGAGAACCCAGGGTAAGATGATCAGTCCTCACTTAGAAAGATAAATGGATGGACATTGGAAGTAGGAGAAACAGGACAGGAGACTACCATAGAGGGCCTCTGAAAGACTCTACCTAGCAGTGTATCACAGCAGATGCTGAGACTCATAACCAAACCTTGGGCAGAGAGTAGGACAGTTTTTGTTACCATGAGCAGACCTTCAGAACCTGAGGAACTTCAACATTTTGACAGTTAAGTATATGATCTTTAAGTCTCATCCTCCATAAGGCCTGCATAACACAGGAAGAATTCCTATTGCTTACCTTAAGGATTTAAGATTTTTCTTGCCTCTTTAATTATACAATTTATCTATCTTAAATAATTAAATCCTTTTATTACAGATATATTGTCAAATATATATCTTTTGTATCTTTTTAAAATGGTTTCACTGATCCATACAGAGAATATTTACATGTCAGCAAAAAGTTTAGAAAGGTCAGTAAATTTGAATGGGAGAACAGTTTTTGTGAACAATCAAGATTTGGGAGAGTAGAACAGAAGTTCAGTCTATAACTGACAGAAGAATTAGTTGAGACACCTCACTCCCTTTGGACCAAGCAGCAGAGCCTCTTCATTAAGCAATTTCAAATGAGACGTAATAGCATTAAGAAGTAAATTTACCTTTTGTTATAAGAAAATTTCCTAAACAGAAGGTACATTAGACAATATCTACATCAGTGAGGTCTGTACCCACTACACACAACACACTGTGACTAGGCTGCCCTGGAACTCATCGATCCTACTGCCTCTGCCTCCCAAAGCACTGATACATGGTTTAGTGGTTAAGACCACAGGCCATTCTTCCTAAGAAGCCAGGTTCAATACCCAGCACCGACATAGTAACTCCCAACTCTCTCACTTCAAAGGAGCAGACATCCTCACACATAAGCAAAACATCACTATATACAACAGCTTTCTCATAACTGTAGGGGTGGGCTTTCCTCACCCAGGTTTAGTTCTTCTGGCTTATATACCAGATGTTTGCAGAAAATCTCAAAACTTCATGCAATTAATGCCTCATTCCATGCACCTATCTGCGAGGGGTAACAGGTGAGGGTTCAGGGACCTTGCCTAAATCCTTTTTTGAAGGAATGTTAACATTTAACAAGCCCAGCTGTTAGCAGGCACAGATAGAGTTTTGGAGATGGTAGTTGTTCAGCTTAGAACATCAGCTAAATAAAAGAAGGCTGAAGGCAAAGTACACTGCATTGACGTTACTGGACACATACTCTTGGACCATTATGCTCTCAAAGTATTCAGGTAAACAGTATAGAAAACAGAAGACAGTCTTTATGACTTAGATAGCATGTAGACTTATCATGATCATCAATGCATTGATGTTAACCGCATCTAACAGATTTCAGTTGACCATGATTTTGCAATTAGTATTAAGAGATTTTTGTTTGTTTGTTTTTGATTTTTAAGACAGGGTTTTCCTGTATAGTCCTGACTGTCCTGGAACTCGCTCTATAGAACAGGCTGGCCTTGAACTCACAGACCCTGGACAGGGGCTTTGGCAAAACCTTTGAGGCAAATTGGCTTGGTTTTGAAGTGGGTGGAACAAATCCTATCTCCAGGTCATCTTTTCAGTGGGCTAAGACAGCCCGTGACAATTTATAAAAGTTATCTGTATTCAAAAGGCATTTGTAAGGCTGAACCCAGTGATGTACACATTTACAACTGGTTTGTGTGTCTGCAGACAGGGGCAGAAAATCTTAAAAGGTCAGTATCCATTTTCTGTCTCATACAGATATCAGTGTCTAGGATAACTATTCTATGAGGTTAGGATCTATTGCCCCGTTGTAGGTCAGACCTCTTAAGTTTTAAACACATAAAACCTGTTATCTAGGAACAGTTAAAGAACAATCTTAAAAATGAGACATCTAAGGAACCCAGAAAATACTGGAAATGAAAGCAAAAATTCCAGGCTTGATGGAGCAGATCAAAGACCTATCTCAAACTTTGTACAAATGAGTTCCAAGAATTGACGGAATGTCCTGTCTCAGAGGGAGCAGACTTGGGGGGATACTAGAAAGGGTTCAACATAACTTCTGTCTGCAGTCTCCTACACAAGCAGTGCAGCTAAGGGACTCCCATGGAAACACCTGCTACAATTCTTTGGCCACTTTGGGTCCTGGACCCACAGGCTGGCTAAGCCCATGAATGCCTGGAGGCCCTGCTCCTGCCAATACCACAGTCCCTGGTTCTGTAAATCTTGCAGCCACCTTGAGTTTGCACTAGAGGAGGTTCTGCCTCTGTTGGGTCCTTATTGTGTTTGGTGGGTCAGTGAGTTGATTGCCAATCTCCTTGGCCTTAAGGGCCCCTTGGAGGGGTGTGGCTGGGAGTTGACTAGGTTTGGGCTCTTGAGAAGACCAACGGGGTCTTGTCACAGACCATCTCAGTGCCTGGGATGTGGGAGTCGAAGAGGAATAGATGTAGAGTTTCTCAGACCCACTAATTTAACCTCAAAAAAGAAGGTTGACACCACTGATGGACCATAGGCAAGAAGACAGAACTTCCAGTCACCTTGAAGCCAAAGTGAGCTCAGAGAGCGGCCTAAACCTCTGTTCCATGATGAAAGCCAGGCAAAGATACAGAAAGAACAGGGCAAATGCTGAGACAGCACACATTAAATGTATTATTCATTTATTCATTCAGCATCCACAGAAATGGTATAAGACAAGGATTTAACTGAAATTTTTTATACATCAATATGTTTATACATCAATGTGTTTACTCTTAGAAGGAGACCTAGGGAAAGTGTCCCTTTCAGGAATTTTTCCACTTAACAGAAGAATATCTTCATCTGCTTCTTTGGACAACCAGTTGGGTTTTGGTGTCAGGAAACACACTGGATGTTTTGGTACTTTCTGGCCCTGATTTGAATGGATTTATAGAGCCAAACCCACAATTACATAATACCAGAGGCATGCCCCAGGCCTAAAATTTCAAAAGTTTCAGTTCCATCAGTTGATTTATGTTGCACAACTGTGCATCTTCCAAGGCTGAATGAGAGCATTTTTGTTGTGGAGGGATGATTAGACTCTAGAGGGCTTCTCTACCCCACCTAGTTCTCAAATAATTGAGACAGAGACTTTTTAGTTTTATAAAAGCTTTAAGGCATAATAACTGGGCAGACATCAACCCTCTGAGCTATTTTGCTATTTCCCAGCTACACACCCCAAGTTAGTTGTCATGATTGTTTCTGTCAGGGCTGCTTGTGTTCCATCAGGCCAGCCCATCACATCCACATGCTCATTGTCCATACTACCCCTGGCGACTTCCTATTCTCAGGCTTCCTCTTCTGCTTCTTCCCCCCACCATACCCCACTCCCTATGGCCTCTATCTGACCCCAAGCCCGGGAACCTAAGCTTTGCCTACTTTTCTTCTGCCCAGTTACAGGCTCTTAGCTATTTTATTAACCAGCCAACTTTAAATCGGGAAGCAAGGTTTACACATCACTTGGTGCCTGGATAGCAACCAGATCTTGGGGGCTAATATTTAGCATTTGAATACATAGCACCAGACCAACCCCCAACACATTTTCTCAGCAGGATTGGTTAGCTGAGGGAGCAGTTGGATAAAATTTGGGGAAAATGGAGTCACACTGGGCATTTCAGTAACAGTCATTCTACTGTTTCTACACCTCAGAAAATTGAACAGCTTTCTAAAGATGAGGATGTGAAACCATTGTAAAAAAAAAAAAAACAGTAACTTCACACATGAACTTTCAAATCTTGTTACACTCATGTTAATGGAAGTCATCCGATCAGGGTTCTTTGTGAATGATGAATATTTCCTCTAAAATGTTTTCTTATCACATACTCAGTAATAAGGATTTAAAATGCATGCCCTTCTGGAATATATATTCAAAGATTAAAACTGTTCACAACTAGGAAAATGCATTTAATAGCTCATCAGTAAGCTTTCAGAATATTGTAGATTCAAGATTTTTTTTTAACTTTGCAATTTGATATTCTTCATTGTTATTTGAAAATTTGTGTTGCCTATAATCATTTGTTATAAATACCCAGTGTATTTCAGTGGATGGATAAAACACATTGATAAAATACATGAAGACACTGTTAAGATCCAAATATCTATAAGCTCTGCTTCTGTGATTTTGACTTCCTGAACAAATAGGAGTCTCCAGTTTTCATGTCTGATTCATTGTCTCCATTCAATGGTCAATAGTTGTTAAATCTTAGAAATGAATAAATCTTACAAGTGTGTCATTTTTCACCTAGGTGTGGTAGCTCACACCATTAATCCTAGAACTTAGGAGGCAGAGACAGGCAGATTTCTGAGTCAAGACTAGCCTGCTGGTTCTAGAACCACAACAGCTACACAGAGACATCCTGTCTCAAAAAAAAAAAACAAAAAATAAAACAAAACCCACCAACGTAACCAAAAAAAAAAAAAAAAACAAAAAAAAACAGGTAACCTAAAGTTTTTTTAATCATCACTAGATACCTATCAGATATATATTTCCTTGTCACCAAAATAAACCATAAAATACTATGCTGCATCCTTGAGCTATATTATTGAATCTTATTGTGGAAAGTGCTTATTATGCAGCATATCTTTTGTAAGTCATAAAATAAAACTCTATTTAGGATAAAAACTGTATATTACTATTTTAGTCCAATCTCACACTATCAAAATTAACTTTCTGTTTTCCAGGCTTGGCAACTTCATAATTTTATTCAGTTCAGCTATATAATATCTATATTGTATGATAGGCTTATTTCTGTTAATAAAATGCCCTTAGCTATTTACTTACTTAATTATATTAACTATAATGTTAATGTGGTTATAATATCATATTAACTATATATTATTAAGCTATAACATCCTTAGCTATTTAACTTTGAATTATATGCCAAGATGTCTGTGTTCTACTTGGTTTTGCTCTTCGAGAAAACGTATAGGTTATTTCCACCTACTGTATTTTGTAAATTAGGTTCACTGTATATAACTGTTGAAATATACTGGACTTTCTTATTTATGGTTAAGCACGTATGAGTAAATGTATTTATTTTAAAAATAAGCATTAGAAGTATGGAAATATTGCTTAGTTTTTGATCATATCTCAACCTTTGTCTAACAGGAACAAGACATAATGATTGTAATGAACACAGCAGAGCCATTCATTTTAACTCTGTCTGTATTCAACACCAGAGAATTCGTAAAGGGGAGAAACCCTACAAGTGTGAAGAATGTGGAAAGGCCCTTAGTTCTCATAAAACACTCTCTAGACACCAGAGACTTCATACTGGAGAAAAACCCTACAAGTGTAAAGAATGTCATAAGGCCTTTAGTACTAGCTCATCACTCTTTGTACACCAGAAAAATCATACTGGTGAAAAAACCTGCAAGTGTGTAGACTGTGGCAGATCATTTTACTATCCTTCAATGCTGAAGCAACATCAAAGAATTCATTCTGGAGACAAACCCTACAAATGTGAAAGATGTGGAAAAGCTTTTTATGATCCTTCATTCCTTAAGCGACATCAAAGAATTTATTGTAGACTGAAATCATACAAGTGTGAAGAATGTGGCAAAGTATTTTCCTCTGCTTTAAGCCTTAAGAAACATAACCGAATTCATTCTAAAGCGAAACCCTACAAGAGTGACATGTGTGGAAAAGGATTTACTAAGCCTTCTGTTCTTCCTGAGCACAAAATAGCTCACACTAGAGAAAAACCGTGTAAGTGTGAACAGTGTGGCAGATGTTTTTCTTCTTCTTCAGCACATGGGAAACACCAATTAATCCATTCTGAAGACAAACCCTACAAGTGTGAGGAATGTGGTAGAGCCTTTGCCATGCTTTATTCTCTTAGTCAGCACAAGCTTGTCCATTCCAGAGAGAAACCTTACAAGTGTGGAGAATGTGGGAAAGCCTTTTCGTATAATTCTTCCTTGATTCAGCACAAATTAAGTCATAATGGAGTGAAGTCTTATCGATGTGGAGAATGTGGGAAGATGTTTTATTCTACTTCAAAACTGAAGAAACATAGAAGATTAAACTGTCAAGAGAAACTGTACAAGTGTGAAGTCTGTGGAAAAGCCTTTTCTACTAATTCTTCCCTGATTCAGCACAAAATAGTTCATACTGGAGAGAAATGCCACAAATGTGAAGAATGTGGAAAAATGTTTGCCTGTACCTCAAAACTGAAGAGACATAAAATAATTCATTGTCAAGAGAAACCCTTCAAATGTGAAGTATGTGGCAAGGATTTTCGTACTCGCACAAAACTAACTATACACAAGAGAACTCATGTGAGTGTCAAACCACACAAATGTGAAGAATGTGGAAAAGCCTTTTCTATTCTCTCATACCTTACTCTGCACAAATTACGTCATTCTGCGGAGAAATCCTATCAATGTGAGGAGTGTGGCAAAATGTTTTACTCTACTTCAGACCTTAAAAAACACAAAAAAATACATACTGGAGAGAAGCCATACAAGTGTCATGAAGAGTGTCACAAAACTTTTAGTACACGTACAACCCTTAAGAGACACAAGACAGTTCATACTGGAGAGAAACCCTACAAGTGTGAAGAGTGTGGTAAAAGGTTTTCCTATGCTTCAGACTATAAAGCACATCAAAGAATTCACTGTGAAGACAATCCCTACAAGTGTGGGGAATGTGGCAAAGCCTTTACCAAACTTCGTGTATTTACTCAGCACAAGTTTGTTCATATTGGAGAGACACCATACAAGTGTGAAGAGTGTGGCAAAGGATTTTCTAGTCCTTCATATCTTAAGTTACATAAAACAATTCATTCTGAAGAGAAGGCCTTCAAGTGTGCAGAATGTGGCAAAGTTTTTGTTACTCAATATAACCTTTCTCAACACAAGCTAGTTCATACTGGAGAGAAACCACACAAATGTGACCTGTGTGGAAAAGGATTTACTAAGCCTTCTGTTCTCACCAAGATAGGTCACACTGGAGAGAAACCCTATAAGTGTGAAGTGTGTGGCAAAGGATTTTCCTCTTCTTCATTCCTTAGAAGACATCAAATAATTCACTCTAAAGAGAGTCCCTACAAGTGTGAGGAATGTGACAGAACCTTTACTCTGCTGTGCACACTTAGCCAGCACAAGTTGGTTCATACTGGAGAGAAACAGCACAAGTGTGAGGAGTGTGGCAAAGGATATTCCTCATCTTCAACCCTTAAAAGACATCAAATAATTCATTCTAAAGAGAAGGCCTAAAAGCCTATGAAATATGGCAAATTTCTGTTACTCATCCCTTCTCATCACAAGACAGTTCATATTGTAGAGTTTTGTAAAGTTCCTACAAAGTTTGTACTTCTTCAGCACCTAAAAGGCATCAAGGAACTCATTCTGAATAGATGCTCAACAAGTGTGTGCAATGTGGTAAAGCCTGTGCTGATCACTCAGATCTTACACAGCGCAAGTGAATGTAGGGAGTAGAGAAGCCATGCATGTGGGGAGAATGGCAAGTGCTTTACCAGTCAGTCAAATGTGAAGGAAGTGACAGGGTTTTAGTGTTTCCTCATATCTTAAATAACAACAGTCTACATCCTGAACATCAGAGCTGTAATGTGAAGGATGTGGTGAAGGTTTCATTTATCGTTCAGTCCTGGTTCAACCTCAGTAATCTGCACTTGAGAGAAACCCTACTTGTGCAGAAAAGGACCAGGGTTGAGCTATGCCTCATGTCTATGTAAGCATCAGAGAATACATCCTGATGAGGAGGCCTACAAAAGTAATCAAGGTGGCAAGCTCTCTACCTGTTCTTCATACCTTTAAGTATCTGCAGAGACTTCATACTGCAGAGGCACTCTGTACACATATGAGCCGTGCCTGAGCCTTGAATAACACTTCAAGTCTTCATCAGCACCAAAGAATTGCTGTAGGTGAGAAATCTGCAGGTACAGATGTCCTCATCAGCTGTAGATGTCCACATCACACTGCCGAGCACTATCTGAAAGGTCCAGTTTGTTATTTTCTTATAAACTTGTGTTTGTTGTATTTTCTTGATTTCTATGTGATGTAGAAGCCAGCCTAGTCTTTAAATCTTTATTAGGAGTATTTAAAACTTAGGAGTATTGGGTTGGGGTATATGTATGTATGTATTTCTCTAGCTTTGATATTAGGGTTTGTTATCACCTTTCACTTTCTATCTTGTGGAAGAGATTGAAAAGTGTTGGTATTAGATCTTCCTTTTATGTTTTTTAAAAGTTAGCACTAAACCCATCTGGTCCAAATCTTTACTTTGTATTTTAATTACTGATTTAATCTCCTTATTGTTATAGGTCTGTCCAGTGTTGTTTTATCTTTTTGCTTTTTTTTTGTTCTCTCATGTATATATTTAGAAGAATACCCATTTCATAAAAAGTTTCCAGTTTCTTGGATTATACATTTACAAAAATATTTCCATAAGGTATTCTGGAATCCTTGGAGTTTACTGTAACAACTCCTTTTTGCTCACTTTGGTTTTAGGTTCTCTCCATGTATCTATCTTGGCACCTCGTCACTCTCATGATCACACTCACTCTCCATCTCTGTGTGAGTCTCTTGTCTTTTGGTAGTTTCACTAGTTGAAGAAATTTTTTAACCATTTAAAGAACCAAATGGATAATTATGGATGTTCTTCAAATCTCTAGTTTATTAATTTTTCCCTGATTTTTTTTTCTTATTATTTACCTTTTTATTTTTACTGTTCATTATGTTTTCTCCATCTCTCACAAATCTGGGGGTGTCTGTTCTCAAAAAAGCAAAAAACAGTGTCACTCATTTGGTTTCAGAATAAAAAATCTGTTTCCCTTTATGTTCAGAACAGGGTTTTTATATCAATGCCATAAGGACCCATAGTGTAAAGACGAGAAAGCCACATGCACCCAGTGAGCAGAGAGGAGGGATGTGATTATCAGATACCTAATCAACCAGTATAAAGCATTATATATGCAGTTCTTACTTACTATTGATCAACTGGTATAAAGCACTGTATATAAAGTGCTTACTTTACTATTGATGCATATGCCCAAAAGGCATACCAAACTCGATTTACTAACATTGTGAGCCCTTAAAACAAGGGCAATTAAAAAAATTTTAATTATCAGTTACCTCATAAGTGGGTAAATGTCTCTAATGTGCCCCCATAAATGTATTCATGGTTATTTATAGTACAAATGAAATTTATTTACAAAAACAATATTGAGAGGAGAGACCAATTTATATCTCATTCTATGTAGTCTTCTAAATATGTAATGAAAGTATATCCTAACGTACCTCAAAACAAGCTTAAAGTAAACGGTTTAGTATGAAACATTTTACAGGATAAGGATAAGGATGTGTTGGGAGAAAAGACTTGCTGAAAACCTGCTGTTCCTGTCTCCCTCCTGCTTGTAGGCCTGACCAGGAGAACTTCATTCTTATCCAAAGGGAAGGTGAATTTCTCCTCATGTCTCACATGACCGTGTGATGGATTCACTTGCCCAGTGGAGAAGTCTGGCAGACATCCTAAATTTCTCAGCATACAGACAAGCATATACACATTATTCTGCTTTCAAAGGCTCCCTTCATGAAATATGAGGATGCTGTGAATAGGAGATCTCTGTATCTTACCTGCCACCCAACTGGGCCAGGACCTGTACCTCAGCTGAATTGCTCATCTCTTTACCCTGACTTTCAGTTTTCCTCCTCCTAGCAAAGCCAAGTTGAGGATGACAGGTTCATGCATGATACTGTATGGAGACCCAGGGAAGAGTTTACCTAACAGAGAGAGGTTTACCCACAAGTACAGTCAGCACAGCAGGCTGAACGATGACACACATTTAAACACCAACAGTAGGTGCCATCCAGCAGACAGACCACACACAGCTGAGAAAACAGCACTGTCTGAGGGGGAGAAAACCTAGACTGTGAAAGTCCATCAAAGCCAGATGCTCAGAATCACCTTCCAGAGAATATGGAAGCTGCTCTTCAGCCCTCCTCACAACCCTGGAGGCCACATGTGCCCCTGACAGCAGCTTGAGGTAATGAATGGGGCAACTGCAGATAGGGGTCACTTGCCCTTCGTCCTTTCAGCACAGGGCAATATTGGGGGAAATGCTTCCTAGAGGGCTCATCACAACAGCTCCTTAGGACTGGCTCTGCCACATCTGCTCTAGTGGTCAGGCCCTGCTTAATTAACTGGTGGTTAAACCAGTCAGTTGACAGGCCGCCTTGGGATCAATGGCTCCAAGGGCCAGTTCCTCTTCTTTCATCAAAATCAAGATTTGAAAGGGACTAAAACAAGTGGAGAATGAAGAGATTAAGGCAAGATCAGGTTATCCTGACTGGCACAGTACCTCATGCCTCTCAGGCAAGTAAATGGTATCTCCTGACTTCTGAAAAAGAGTTCCTCCCTTCCTCCTGGGGGAGGATCTAAACCCATAATAAAGAAACAACAAAATACAAACCGTAACTCCGCAGTGTGCATCATGTGTGGCTTTTTGACTTTGCAAACTCTACCTTCCCTTGCTTCCTAAGAGCCCTAGTGAGGAAGCAGCCCAAGCTTGGTCAGCTGCTCTTAATTGATGCAATAATCATGGTGACTTGTCCCTTTCCTCATGGGTTACTTCATTCACAGATCCTGAAGGGCATCTCTCTCTACTGGAGGGCATTCACAGTTGTGGTACATTCTACATATGGTACCATGGGAGTGAAGTGATAAACACTCCAGTAGATCAAAATGTAGAGAATAATAGCCTGTGGAGGCACTGGTCTAAATGAACACCTGGGTGGCAACTCTTAGCCTCAGGGATCACAGGAGACAATGTAGAAAGGTTGCAGTAGCCAGATGAGGTGGATGTCTGCTGAAGCACTATTTGCTGGAAATGTCAGGACTGTTGCATGCATGACCACACTGTGACTGCCAACTATTCGGGAAATACTTGCACAAGCGAAAACCAGCATTCAACATGCCTGATTGTGTGAGGGTCTCATTATGTCTAACCTTCAGTGGAGCAGGAATTGTCAACTGATGGCTTTTGGGGAAGACAGACAGTTGGAGAGGCTTTCCCGTTCCAGCCACTTGTTCTAAACATAGAGGAGGCAGTGGGTGCACTTGGTGTCATAAAAAGAGAAGAAAACACCCACAAAATTGGAAGGGAAGCGTGGCGTTAAGGGTGTGCAGTAACTGAGGTGAAAATGGGGAGAGAGTTGAATAAAGCACAATTCAGATACTAAATGGTATTAGACTCCAAAGACATCAATTAAAATATATTGGGGGTTGGTGCGTGGGACCTGTACATGGCGGGGGTGGTAGCTGCTGCAGCGCCGAACAGCAGAGAATTCCCGTGTACTCAGGGGATCCTCTCTGGAGCCACAGCGAAGGCTTCCCAGAAAAGGACAGAGCAGTGCAGAGCCACAGCTCACAGGACTGCAAGGAGCAGCCTGAGCCCGTCTCCCCTGAGCTGGAGCACATTCCCAGAAAGAGGGGCAAGAACCCCAAGAAAGCTGTGGGAGTAGCCTGGGCCATCGGCTTCCCCTGTCCTCTTTGTCCTCATCAAGCAGGAAGTGGAGAAGGACCCTTTGAGGCAGATGAAGGCTTGGCAGAACATGGCGGGTGTCAAAACCGGGCACCAAACCAGAGGTTCAGGGCTTCCTTCCATCAAACCCAGCTCCCTAGAATTGCGTCTGGAGTACAGACCTAAGTGAGGATCACTGCAACCTTGCACTAGACTATTGACCCATGTTCTGTGTGGCTAACTGTGGCCACTGCCCCTGAGGCCCATCAGAGGGCCCATGGGGTCCAAGCTGCCATCAGCACCCATCTCTTCCACAGAGGAACCAGCCAAATGGAAATAAAGTTATCACATACTGGCAAAACAACAACAATGGCAAAAACCAAACAAACACATATTGTTGGTTTTGGACATATCCAAACTTGAGCTGTTCTAGCAGTGGTTCCTGCACTCTGGCTGTCATAGAGTTTATAGAGGGCCAGCATCATTCCTGGAAGTCTTCATGAGGGAGCAAGAGAAGATTCCCAGATGGCTCAGATGCTGAGGACTAAGGAGTCCTGCATCAGTGGGACATCAAGGAAGAGAAATAAGATTGCTCCCCAGAGACAGGCTGCAGCCAGCCTCACCATGTATCTTCCACTCGGCTTTACTATCAGTACAACAGAGGAAAGATGAGCAGTGGCCTCTTCATCCTCCCTGGCCTCCCTTCTATATCTGACACACCTGTCACAGCTGCTTTGGTTCCTTGTTATCCATCATTATTAAAGTTAGACAAGGAGTCTACCATTCAAATGAACTTGGTGAGTAATGAGTTACAAAGATAACATGTCACATAGCTTGTATAGTCAGTTTACTAAAAACAAAGTTTATTAACATGTATACCTCATGTATGTATTAATGATACATGAAGAAATGAATAAACCTCTAGAGTAGATTGCAAAGAAAGAGTCTCAGCGTCAAGCGTAAATCCTATCATTATCAAAACGAGGCTGGTGTGTTAAAAGGTTCTGTCTAAAAAAAATGGCTAGTATGTGGCCAGGAAGGCACCTTGAAGAAAGACCCAGATTGCTCTGTATTTGAGACAATGTTTTCTTCCTGTTTGGAGTCTGAGGAGATGTAGCTAACATTTCATTCCTGGTATCAGAAAGGACATTTCCTTACAAATGGATACACCCTTTACGGATAAACATGTTTTCTACAAGGAACAATTTTTCAAAGGAACAGTTTATCTGAGGTATAGACTGTTTAGGAACAGCTCATATGAATAGCTCAAAGTGAATAGTATATCTCAGACATGTCCTGTCAGGAGCAAACAGAAAACTATGGGGGGTTTTTTTGTTTTGTTTTGTTTTTTGTTTTTTTTTATTTGTTTGTTTGTTTGTTTTGGTATATAGTATCTGCGTAGTCCCAACTCTCCTGTATATCACTGTGTAGACCAGGGTGGTCTCAAAGGTCAGAGATCTCCTTGCTTCTGCCTCCAAATTGCTAGGGTTAAAGGTATATGCCACTACTGTCTGGCTCTTTCTTTTTTATTTCAAACCCTGTTATTTACAATATTGCAATTAAAAAATGACATGTCAAAAGTAGCTCGAAACTGTGTAACTCATGAACTTCTGCACAGTTAGGACAGACATTCAAAACTAAAGCTGAGGAGTTTACCTTGGTATCTATGTGTCCCGCCTGCGGAACTAGTTATTGGGTGGGACTCGAAAGGGACCCTTACCTGAAAGGCAAAACGGGCGAGAAAGAAGAATGGGACCAAGCTAAATCTTGTCAAGGTCCGTTTACTGAAAGCCAAGGTACAGAATATAAACGAGGGAAAAGGGGGGAAGGGGGAGGGGGAAGGTGAGCTGGAATTTGCATTGACTCCAGCTCAAAGGGGGGCTGTTAGTGGAGCTGTCTGAGGGCTACTATCTTGCAAACTCCCTCAGTAAGCCTTTTCTGAGCTAATCTATTCCTGTCGTCTTGAGTCAATGTTTTTCTAAGGGAGGAATCCTTTGACTCCCAGCCCAGGGTCGGTCAGAGGGACTCTCTGTCTCTGACTCAGGGTCAGTCTAAGAGATTTCTCTGGCTCATGGCTCAGGGTAGGTCTGAGAGATTTCTCTGGCTCATGGCTCAAGGTCAGTCTGAGATATTTCTCTGGCTCATAGCTCAGGGTCAGTCTTTGGCATCTATGCTCTTTTGGATATATCTTTATTCATTCACACACACCAAAACCCAAAATCCATGACTGAGTTAGAAACAAAAACAATCATGTAGTGTCCTGTTTCACTCCCATGTTCATTACCTGCTTTCAATCATTCCTCACCTCCTAATACTTAGCCTTTTTCTCTTTTCTACACAGCTTACAGGCCCTGGACACACATGTAAATTTGTTCACATGTGTCCATTTATTTTTGTCTAGGTTACACATATGAAGGAGAACATAGAGGTTTCTCTTTCTGATACTGTGTGCCCTCAATACACAATCTAAGTGCGTCAATATTCCTGCAAAATTTGTGATTACAATTCTCTTTAGCACTAATGAGTATTCATATTGTATTCGTCAGGGTTCTGTAGAGTCACAGAATATGTGGAATTACTCTCTCTATATAAAGGAAGGTATTGGAATAACTTACAGTCTGTAGTCCAACTAATCCAACAGTGGCTAGCTGTGAATGGAAAGTCCAAGAATCTAGTGTTGCTCAGTCTCTCAAGGATGGGTATCTCAGGGGGTGTTCTCTATAAGCTGGAATCCAAGGAATGGCTGTGCTGGCAAAGTGAGGGCCAACAGGCCAAAAGTGGACAGAGGCTTTCTTCCATTGTCCTTATATAGGCTTCCAGAGGAAGGTAAGGCCCAGGTTAAGGTGCGCCTCAAGATCTGGGTTAAAGGAATGTGTGCATCCAGATAAAAAGCATGTGAATCCACCTCAAGATTCATTTCAAAAGCCTGTGTCTACCAGCCAGGGGATCTGGGTCAGGTGTGCCCTCCACCTCTGGATTGTACTTTATTCTATCTATAGACAAGTTGACAGCCTAGAATTGCCATAACACACCCACGATATGTATGCATGGGTGTGTGTATGTGCAGACATAAACATACATGATCTTGTAAATAATAAATATTTATCTATTCATCTGATCATGGGCACCTGTGTGGAATGAGGTCCTTTACTGTTGTGAATAAAGCAGAAATAAACATGGGCGGGGGAATATCTCTACAATAAGTTATGAGGGTCTCTGCACTAAGCCCAGGATTGAGTTAGTAGGGATAGCATAGAGACTCATACTCTGGTTCCAGTGGTATGAGGTCATTATGAGTGTGAGGTACTGATTTCTGATGGTCCAGTGGTCACTGTGGCATGGATAGCCTGCTGTCTTCATAAAGGCTACTTTGTGTCTGTGGCTCTAAGCACAGCCTGGACATAGTAGACTCCACAGCATCTGACATTGAGTACCAGCCTCCACTAGGTTCACAGGATCCTAGGGGTGAGCAAGTATTTGTGGTCACCAGCTGCTTCATGATCAGCCCCACCTGTACTGACATCAGAGGCCAATGAATCAGTTCCCGGATGCAGGATGCTCTCCTATGGATGTGTGGATGGGACATCCTTCCTAATGTTTGGACCCTGTTCACCCGTGCTTCCACACTAAACACTTGAGGCTTCATGCAGTTAGCTCTGAACTGCAAATTCAGAGCTGGAGGAGGGGATGGATACAGTGGTGCTCATCCAATGACTGTGTCCATCTTTACTGATGGCATATTAGCATCAAGCAAGCTCTGCTGCAAACATCTGGGTGCACACAGCTGGAGTTGGAAGAGGGCAGTTGTTTTGCTCTGAAGATAGTAAAACCATTATGTTAAAAGACTGTTGAATCTAAATTGCACATGGAGGGCGATGTAACAAGTTAGCACACTTGCGTATGTACTGGTAACCATTTAACCTCCTAGCCTCCTGGCAATTATATAAAAACTAAATACTGTGTGATTTACGCTGCAGGTAGAGTCATTTGTCATAAATTTATTTTAATAACATCTAACAATTTTGCTGAGGGAGCCCTGACAACCTGCGATGCTGTGATTATTGTTTTATAGACATAGGGTCTTCCTTATCCTAACCTGCTTTTATTACAAACACCTTTATTTCAGGAGGTAAAAAGAAACAGTAGAATACTACACAGATCAGCTCATCTCCTTCACATAGTGGTTTGTTTGTTTTCTTAATTGTTGGTTGATTATTTTTCCTGTCTCAGAGTCAGGGGCACTGTCTTCGGAAACAGGTGAGCTACAGGAACCTTAGACATACAGGCTTGGGTGTGGCATGGAGGACATCAAATCCAACCATAGGAGACAGCCTTCTCAGGTTGCTTAATCAGCAAGTGTTCATAGATGTATAATATTGCCCACAAGTGTCGTGTTCTATAATGGAAATATTGAACTAAACAACAGTTTACAGGCTTAGTGGAGCAGAAATAAGGCTGATCATATAAGGCAAAAAAAATCTCAGGGACAGAGAGGATGTCCTATCACACAGGAAACAGGCCTAGAGACCCAGCAGAGAGAGCAGGCACTAGGACCCAGTAAAGCTTCTCTAACTTGACAGCCACACTGGTAAGGGCCTCTAAGGAGGAAAATGTGGACCCACACCCTCTGGCCACAGTGAGGCTGGGCCCTGGCCTCCATGGCTGGTTAGGTTTCCTGGTGCCTGAGGTCTCAGAAAGGCAAACAAGTATAGGCTGGAAGCTCTGCTCTTGCCAACCCTGAGGGTCTTGCTCAGGAGGCTCCTGCAGCCACCACAGGACATGGACACATGTCCTGCCTCCCTTACCTCAGGATGTGAGCCCAAGAAAGCAGCACACTTCCAGTGTGCTCACCTTGCACTGGGTT